AGTCATCTCTCGGAGGGTGTCATATCTACGGGAGACTACTTCTATGAAGACAAAATAGAAATTGATAAATGGAAATCAACGAATATTTTTTGAAAAGAAATAAAATTCACCTAATTCATTCATTTCCACTAGCTCTAATGGAAAATCAGTTTCTGTCCAGATGAATAGAATTGATGTTACTTCATAATTTTTCACCCTCACCATTTTGATACGAATAATGAAATGGAAATGTGTTTGTACATAACTATCTGTAAACATTCACATTTCGTGTTTTGAATACATGACAATTCTAATTTTCATTCTACTCAGTTAATTCACCAAACCTTCTCCAACATCTGTTCCAAACAAGTAGAATTCTCAACATTTAATAACTCTCATACTCACTTTCAATTTCTGATATTGAAGGTTCTGTTCCTCCAAAATCCAATGGCAGATATTCTTTGGGTATACATTCTTGAAGGGATTCAAAATTTTCGTGGGTTCGTATCTGTAACAATTAGAATGTTTCTCCTCAATCCAAATAAATAGCGTATTTGCAAATAAAACAATGAAATAGTATTATGAACAACATAATAATTATGATATAATATTGATTTTGAAATAAATATTAAAGTTCGAGTTGAAACCTTCTATAGTAAAAAATGAATCAGTTGCTTGGGAAACCTCTTTGGTTCGCAAACTGAAACATGTGAAAAAAAAATTAAACCTGCCAAACTGTGATTTTAACAATATAATGCGTTCGATCAACAAGACTTCGCTGATACAATTTTCTTCAAAACTTTTTTGTATTCTGCACAATTGTATGATTATATTCCTCATTTGAGACAAGATTGAAATGAGTTTCAAAATACTGGATGTTAGGAGGAGAAGTTATCTACAAAGTATGAATGAAAAACTTTTGATGATGTAGTAGCAAATTATTGATAATTCATTATTTGCACATTTGTGAACGGCAGCTGTTGGCCGGAGAGCACTATGGATTTGTTGACATACATCTTCATTAAATTCAAATCGACACTGAATTGATCGCTACTTGTCGAAATACAAGTAGCAACCATTCATAAAGCGGAGAAATTGAATAGGACAAATTGATGGAAACGTATTCTGTGGAGTTTGGTCGTGAACTGATTACATTTTTAACGGGTGATGATCGATTGTATTGCCAAACATGCGCCAAACTAACTGACTGTTATGAGGAAACAAGTATAACTGAGGCACCAGTCAATCTGATAATAACACTGATGATCTTTAAACAAGACTCAACCTCTGACGGAAGCAGTCCACTATTATAATATTCATGCAGTCATTGTTCACTGTGGTTCTGGCGTTCAATTTGGTCATTATTACGCCTCGGTCAGAGACGAATCGGACTTTAAGTTTAACGATAGTCGTGTCACGAAGTGTTCTGGCGATGTATTGAATCTTTTGGAGCCTCTGGAGACACCCTATATTTTGTTTTATGAAAGAGAGGACATTGGCAGATCGAAATCTTCAGATAATGTGGTGCTGCAGGTTTTTCCGGGTTTTATTGCAGCTGAAAGAGCAAATGCGCCACTGAAATCAATGAAGTTGCCTCGGAGCGTCAATTAACTTTTATTGTTGTTTTCATTTTCACAGTAAACAATTGAAATCCATTCCTGTATATTTGAATTCTACCAGACAAAGTCTACTGTGATGTGGAAGTAGAAGACATTTTGGAAAACTTTCCTAATAGTCAGTGGGCTATGCTGACTAATAAGGAAGTTTTTCTTCCTCATTCAGAGGAATCGGGCAAATTTCGGATATGCAGTTGGTTAGTACCTCGTCCACTAGATGGAGTGACATTTTTGTTGTTCGTTTCAACTTAAGACGAGGAATGAAATACTCTGAAAGAATTTCGATATTCAATCTACACTGACCACCTTCAAGGGACAAGAGATTCCGTGGTCTAACAAAGCGACATACCTGGGGGTCACCTTAGACAGGAGATTAACATTTTAATCTCATGTACGGCAGAGAATCGGAATGGCCAGACACGCCAGACAACGACTGGCACCAATCATAGGACGCAGAAGCAACATGGGGTTGAAAATGAAGTTGCTGATGATCAAAACCGTTCTCATGCCCATAATATTGTACGCATGCACTGCCTGGTGCCAGTGCGCACAGACATACAGGAAGAGGATTCAGTCGTTCATGAACGCGAGCGTAAGGGCCGCCGTGAACGCACCGTACTACATCCCCAATAGATTTATATACAGAGACTTAGACCTGGACACGTAATTTGTGGACGTGTATATGAGAGAACACGCAGAAAGCGTGTTCGATAGAATTAGATCGCACAACAACCTAGCGCTACGCGATCTACACGATGCGTTGAACATGGATGACCCCAGGTTCTTAGAATCACTGAGGAACGCTCAACGCTAATAACAACAGCCGCCGGTTAGTTTTTGAGGGCCCCTATGCAAAAATTCAGTTAGGAATAGTCATGACAGAACATTTTTACCGATCGCGAAAGAATAGCACCTAAAGGCTGACTTTCGACCAAAAGAAGTCAGATGTCAATCTTGCTGAAGTGCCCATCAGTAAGTTGAGGACCGTTCGGAGAGCGGGGGTGGATGGAGTGGGGTAGTAGGTTCTCCTCGCTAACTAGCTGGGGGGGGGAACTTCTACTTCAGGGCACTCAACCCGGGAGGGGGCATGGGAGGGGGGATATTCAATTATGGAATAATATTGAATTTTGGTCGATGATGGTCACTATCTTGCACTGACGAGTCGCCAAGGAGCCCAAACCGGTCTGTAAGTATGATCGTTCCAAAATTAAAGTTCGACTCTTTCAGTTGTATTGGCAATTGCATATGCAGAAAATTTTCTGTGAAGATTCCTGCACTGACGCCTGTCGGATAAAATCCAACGCCGTTCTTGGTATTAGCCAAGGAACTAGTTGTTTTCTGATAGGCGTCAGTCCATTCAACATACTGTGTAGGTATATCCGAAACTGGCTTGAACATTTAAAGTTCATTTCTTCAGATTTATTTTGGTATAGACTGGGACTCAATTTTGCGAGAAAAGATCACATCATAAAAATGCTTACTATGCGTAATACCATGCACCAGCTCGCAACATGATCGCATCATCATCATGATTTTTTTCAGATATTCATATTGAAAACTTCATAAATATTCTGAAAGTCATTTTTATCGCAATTTCAGGTTTCAACTTCGAAATTACAGGTTCCTTAGAGAAATCTATCACAAAGAAAGTGATAATACTCACCCTCTCGAATAGTTTTTTCGGTATAATTGGTTTCAGAAGCATCTTCACTTGCTCTATCAAGGGTGGTACATTCACCAGGTGCACATTCTTTATTCGACTTGTTGTGGACAACTGAAAAACAATTGAATATATGTCATGACATATTCTACCTTTTCAAAATAACTGAATTTGAAATGTGAAATTACTGTAATATTTGAATTACGAGAACAGTTGTAGAAAACATGATGTGGAACCAAATGAGAAAATCAGATTGAAATAATTATTCGAAAAATTACCCTACTAGATAATACTCATCATTCCATTCTTCATTTTCCGAAAATCGTCGTTTTGGTGATATCTTAGCTGGTATTCTCAAAAAGTATTGATTTTGCACATGAACGTAACTTGGGTTTGAATATGGCTAGAGTGGCACCTACGGGCTGATGACTTCGACAATTGCGGAACTAGTCAAGTGTTACACCAATGCTCAATCCTCAAAAAGATGGGACGAAACCAAAGGACGTAATCTTGCCAGAATCACCTTGGATGACCCTGGGAAGCTGGCGCCGAAGAAATATTTGGCAATGACCAGGAAAAATCTACGCCTAACAGTAGGATTTCTGACTGGTCACTGTCGACTAAGGAAACACCTCCATAATATGGGGCTGGTGGACACACCTCTATGCAGGATGTGTGAACAGGAAGATGAGACTGTCAGGCATGTCCTGTGCGAGTGCCTGGAGTTATCGTCAATAAGAGAATGTGTGTTCGGCGAGTCTTGGCCTACACCTGCCGATATAAAGGAGATATCTCCCACTGACCTGTCTACCTTCCTGGAAAAGACAGGATCGACGATGACCTAGGAGGACAACTCCTCGGGAGGATGTACAATGGTTCACATGTGGCCTAAGTACTATGGGCTTACACTCACCCTCCCTACTCTACAGATACAGAGATGGCTAGAGTAATTTCGATACATTGTTTATTGAGTATTGGGGTGATTATTCTGCATACCTCAATAGTTGGAATTCACAAAACTTTGCTATCTTTTTCACCTATGCTGTTGAAGTATCACTCCTGCTGGAGGTGGAAAATATCTTTGAACTAGATATCAAATTGAGCTACAGTAAACAGTCTTAAGTTGTGGAAGGTTCCACACCGGTTCGTGTACAATACATGAATACAATACGTGAACATTACCAAATATTCAAATTTATATGTATATGTATAAGCGGGTAAATATCCACTTTTGGGCGGGAATAGATAAGACAGACAGTTAGAAATAAAACATTTGTCAAGCTATAGTCAATTGAAGGAATAATTACAAAAATATTCCACTAAGATACGGGTGAAATCCAGGGTTTGAAAGCCAGTTCAAGATTACAATAGGATGCGCAACCAATTTTTTGAAAGCTCGTAAAGTAACTTTTCACTATTACCAAAAGTTGAGGAAGAATTGAACTATTCAGACAAAAAAAAGAGTTCTTCAAAGGGCAGAAAGTTCGGAAATTGCCACTTCCATCGTACCAAACGTTGAAGCGATTGCTAATATCCGTATCTGAAGTGAATTTATGCACTTTCAATCCTAACTTGATGGTAGATGGATACCCATAGATAAAAAACTATTTGTATCCTTTGCAGAAGGAGACACATTCATAAAATTAGAGACACATCAGGCTTGTTTACAACTGGAAGCTCGTCTCAAAAACCGCTTTATTTGATAAAAAAATGCAAACACAACAGGAAAATCGTCATTGCGCTTTGAGAGCGGTGCTTGTGCCAAAGTAGCGATTCACGTTGGATTTTAATCGCTGCAGAAAGTTTATTCCACATAAGCGCCGTTCTCCAAAAAGAAGAGTTTTCGAACAGTGAAATTCGAGGTGTACTGAGTTGAACCTCAAGTCCGTCACGTATTTCTCATATTTACCGCTCTCGGTAAAATCAAATGTGCCAAATCACTTGAAACACCCCTCGTGAAAAAATCTATACTAGAGAAACGAATCTCCAACTTTTTTTCAATTACCCAGACTATCAAATTGGCAAGTGATAATCGTATCTTCAGGAGCATGGCTCTTTGCTGGATGGAACCCAGCAGCTTCAGGGTATGCTCAGGAGCAGAAATTCTGATCTGAGCTTCATAAGGCATCAAAAGTTGCCGAGTTGTGTACAGTTTTCTGGTTTGGAACAGTGTTCCAAACGTTTGTGAAGTAACCTTTGCAATTGTTCTAAGAAATTGATGGATATAGCTGTTACTACGCGGTAGGAAATCATAATGAAGAAAAGAGAATTGAAACTCCCCATGTTTTTTACATAAAAGCAGAAGAAACTCAGTATACAGGTGGCTCAAAGGTCCAAGAAGTAGTGGGAGCCGGTATATACGGAGGCAGAGCAAAGACGAGAAACGCACTCAGCCTCGGATATAAGGCAACTGTGTTCCAGGCAGAAGTAGTGGCCTTCGAAAACTTCATTGGGGAAATAAACAGGTCACAAATAAATCCATTGTCATTTTCTCCGTCAGCCAGGTGGCAATTGAGGCTGGTGGGAAGCTATCTGAGGGCACTTAATCTTGGGTACTCGGACATGAGGGTCATAAGGACATTAAGGAGGCCAAAGTTCTAACCCGTAAAGGCGCATTCAAGGCTATGATCGGCCCAGAACCCTTCTGCTGGGTAGCGAAAGTATGTAAAAAGACATCCATGAATTCATAGATGCAAGTCAAATTGATAGATTGGTGGAATAAGCTTCCAGGGAGGAGATAGGTGAAAAAGTTCATAAAGAAACAATCGCTCAGATTCACAGAAGACCTGCTAAACCACAACCTTACTTCCCTACGTCAGAGGATTATCGGAGAGGATAAGAAGAATTGGTTCCAAGTACAACATTAGAACCTGTTTCAGATCCGGTACCACTATCCGTAGCAGCCTCACAAAAACCAGGCCCCCAAACGCGGACTGCGATTCCAAGAATTGCATTTACCGGATACCCTGTGAGTGCGGAAAATCCTATATTGGTGAAACTCAGAGGCCATTGAATGTTCGCATTGCCGAGCACAAGAAGCATACACAGCGAGGAGAAACCAGCAAATCAGGAAGAGCAGACCATGTTTGGACCCATCAACACAACATCGAGTGGTCCCAAGCTGAGATCTTGCACAGAGAGGAACATTGGTTCAGGAGAAAATTTGAGGAAGCCGCATACATGTTGTCCAACAACGTATTCAGCCAGGCCAGCGTAGATATACGAAACATATGGAAGCCCATCATCAAACGAAAAATGACCAACTCCCTCCAAAACGGTCATCCCTCACGGAATCAGTGAAGCGGAAAATGGAAAGTAGAGAAAGTGAAAGTATTTCAACGACCTATAAAATAGTCATCTCTCGGAGGAATCAGTCCAGTCATCACCCGAAGACGATTGTAGATACCAACAATCGAAACGTCGTGAACTAACGTGACTTGGAATCTCTACACTTTTTTATTTTTTATTATTTTCTTTTTTGCATTCCTTTAATTTTTATTTATTCAATTATTATATTTTTACTTGTAGGTTATTTCACTATCATTTCATTTCAGGTTTATTGTTGCTTAATATAATTGTTATTTTCAACTATTCTTTTTTAATTATTCTTTTTTACTTGTTTCAGGGATTTCAAATCATTTCATATAGTAGACAATGGAAGTCCGAACTAGTGAAATTCATCACGAAACATTGTCAATCACCTTCAAACACACAACCGTAAGGTTGTAAGGGTAGTGGTGGGTCTATTAACAGAGCGTAGCCGACTCAGGAAACATTTGAGCAACATAGGTCTGACAGAAGAAACCCAATACAGGTTCTGTCAAGAAGAGGAAGAAACCGCATCTCAGATTGCTCTGTGAATGTGAAGCGATAGCAAGGCTGAGACACGCAAGATGCGGGGAAGAGAAACCAGAGGCTGCCAGCAATATGAAGGGGTCATTGACAAGGCTATGGAGTCTCATCAAAGAGGTCAAGCTGGAAAATGAGCTCTGACAACCTAGGAGCATCACAATAGATCTGAAAAAGTCTCAGTAAATCAGGCCATGGGACAGCTCCAGGATAATCTAATCTAATCTAATGTTTTTAACCACTTTTATTTGTAACAGATAATACTCAAAGTATACTCGAAGTTCAATGTATGAAATTGAAATAGGACGAAATCGCAGTAGGGTCAGTTACAAATAAAAGTGATAAAGAACATAGAAAATCTCAATTCTCTTTTTTTCATTGTGCCACGACATATTGGTGACGATTTCAACACCCAACAAACTTATCGAAGCAGAAAGCGGAATTGTCTGTACTGATATTATTATATCCGGTTCGGAGACATTTATCTTTTTGAAGAAAACTAATGCGTGGGTTTTCGTGGCATTTAATTGAACCTTGGTAATTTCACGCCAATTTGAAATCACCTCTAAATCATCATTAGGATATGCAACCTCTGCTGTCAGTAAAGCTGATGTCCTGGAATCCAAATGGAATGACGAGAGTGCTGTCGAGAGTGCTGAGTGAGTCGACGAGTGCTGTCGACAGTAGAACAATACAAGGTGTAACTGAATGAGTTGTAAAACATTCAAGAAGGTGATTCCTCATTGAAAAAAAGATAGGATCTTTCATATAAAGAAACTTCATTGGAGCATCCCTTGTTAAGATACAGCCCCTTAAAGAGGGTACATAAAATTTGAATAACAATTTTTTTCACAAGCACTGAAAAAGTTACAATATTGAAATTAACCTGACGATTTGTACTACCAAAAAGACACTTAGCCAGTAATGTATTTGGTTTACCCCATGGTTGTATGGGGTGGAAAACGGAACCCCTAAAATTTATTTCCAATGTAAGTTTTTGTCTTATTATTTGTTTAACATTTAGGAACCTATTTACGATGGCTTGATCCATTCTAAACAAAAACGTCTCTTGGTTTTTTTGCCCAAAATGAACCAGTTTGCAGCAAAAAATTTTACGAAGAACTACAGAGATACATCGCCATAAATGCGAACTGGATTTATTGTTATTTTGTAGGTAATACCTGCATTGAACGATCAAAGGGTAATAAACAAAACTAATTCATTTATAACAAAACACACAACATGTAGATATCATAGTAAATGTTCAATATGTCTACCTTCAGACATTACGCATGCGTCTAGACGTCAGCGCATTGAGCCACGTATTCGCTCAAATATTCCTGGAGTCTCTCTGATTACCCTGCACGCATCGATGAAGCGGTTTCTTGAGTCCTCTACATTGCGAACAGGAGTACGATAAACAAATGCTGCAAATGGCCCCAAATAGAGAAATCGAGAGGACTGAGATCCGAGGATCGGCCGGGCCAGTTCTGTGGTCCTTCTCGACCTATCCATTGATTTGCATATGTTTCAGTTAAATGCTGACATGCTACTTGACTAAAATAGGCGAGAGCCCCATCATACATAAAGAACATATCCCTTCTGACGCCCAAAGGAACTTCCTCCAGCAGTACTGGATGCAGTTCTCTTGAAAATGGAATGTAGGAAGTAGAAAATGAGGCCCAATTGAATCATCTCCGATAACTCCAAACCACACGTTAAGAGGAAACTGTTCTTGATGGTTACTTCCGACACTAGCGTGAGGATTTTCAACAGCCCATATGTGGTAATTATGAAGATTATTAATCTTGTCCTGAAAAAAACCACATTCGTCTGTGAATTCTATCGTCTTCAGAAAGTCACAATTTTTTTTAATCATTTCCAGCATCCAATTGCAAAATTCAAGACGGTTCGTAAAGTCTCGCGGTAACAGTGCCTGTACTCGTTGCAGATGGAGAGGGTATAAGAGTTGCTCCTTCGAAATTCGAAATACCGTCATATGATCAACATTCAGCAGGAAATCAATCTTTCTAGTACAGGTATATAGTAGGTTGTTCTTCAATCAAATTAAGTGCTACTTCCTCAAGCTGTGGTGTTCGTACTTCTCGATGACTACCACAATCCTGCGTTCTTCTGTCGAATGAACCATATACTCGTAATCGTTGATGAATTCGAGCAAATATTCTATGTCAAGGATGCTGCCGTTGAGGATAGATTTCAGCATATCTTCTACAAGCTTCTAACCCATTTCCCTGCGACAGACCGTAAACGTAATGCATATCAGCCATTTTCTCATTTGTGTATGCCATTTTAATAACAAGTGAATTATCAAAGTAACAAATTAAGAACAGAACAACAACACACAATTAGTAATAATTCAATTTCGAAAATTCACAAACTGACAGCGTCATACCAATTTAATTGTCACTATCGCTAATAGCGACCTACTAGATAGGTTAGTTTCGTATTTTCGCATTTATGACGATGTATCTCTGCAGTTATTCCTAAAATGATTTTTTTGCTGCGAACTGGTTTATTTTGGACTAAAAAATCCAAGAGACATTTTTGTTTAGAATGAAACAGGCTATCGAAAATACATTTTTAAATGGTAAACAAATAATAAGACAAAATGTTACATTGGGGATGAATTTTAGGGTTGCGTTTTCCACCCCTTACAACCATAGAGTGAACCAAATTCTGGCTAAGTGTCTTTTTGGTAGTACAAAACGTCAGGTTAATTTCAATATTGTTACTTTTTTAGTGCCTGTGAAAAAAATTGTTATACAAATTATATGTACCCTCTTCAAGGGACTCAACAAAGGATACTCCAATGAAATTTCTTTACCTTTTTTTCGATCAGGAATCCACCTCCTTGAATGTTTTCACTTATTTAGTTACACCCTGTATATTGGATTCTTGCTTTCTCCAATGATTCTTTTATATACAATAAAAAGATAATCGAGTCAATTGGCCTGAAAGTGTATTTCATTAAAGTTATCGAAATGGTTTTAAAATGTCTTTATAATTTTTCCAGTTTCACATTATCCATCCAGTTTTCATAATGTTTTACAATCCATAACATTTGTTTAGATTTTATGAACTTTTTTATATCCATTTCATTGAGTAATGTTTCAAGAAAAAAACATAATTTATTTTCAGTTACTGAAGAAATACCAATTGAAGTCTCGGAAGCGGGAAAAAACAACATTTCTAACTTTTTTCGATTCTGACAGTAATACCTGATTCAACCGCGCGGTGCAACCAAATGCAAAGTTGGGCAAAACCTGGTTGCTGAAAACAGAAAATAACGAATATGCACGATGTCACCAACATAAGAACATGTAGGTAGCTACAGTTATCTGCGTGGTCATATTAGTTGATTCCAAGAAATACTGCTGGTTTAACTGAAACCACAGATATTTGGCAAATTTTCATTTAGTAGGAAGCAAACATATATCAGTCAAAAAGCAGCAATTCTATTTGACTTACCAATATGTCCATCAGTTTGTAAACTATGGAAGGGCTAAATTTAGAGATGAAACCAAAATGAAAGTGTTTCAAGTCTATAATTAAATAGTTTGAAACAAAAAAATCAACACTTCTGATACGAATTTCTGCTTGCATCAGGGGTAAAACTTCATAAGTTATTCCATCAGTTGCTTCTCCATTTGGATCATCCGGTATAAAGATAGTGATTCTGCATAAATCTTGTGTGAGCTTTGGCATCACTATCGTAGTTCTGGAATATTCGAAGTGGAGTTAACATAATCGAATATTATTGTCAAATGAATCTAGAGGTTTCCAAACATAAAAATAAAAATGGGAGATGAATTGATTGAAAATCCCTCTGAGTTTGGAATATTTTTCAACAACTTTTTTGTTACTGCTCCAAAGGAGCAATTAGGAGCTCAATTAGACAAAAAAAGCATAGAACCAATAGAAAATACAGATTTTAATCTCAATTCTATTTTCTGAGTCCATTTCAGGAAAATGAGTTACTCAGCATATCAAATAATTGACTAAAAAATAAATGTTTGACAGGTCCAGATGATATTCCTTCTTTTTTATTAAAAAAAGTTATCAAATCGATAATAAAACCTCTCACTTTCATGGTGAATTTGTCTTTCTCTAATGGCGCTTTCCCAAAAAAACTTAAATGTGGGAAAGTGATTCCAGTTCACAAAAAAAATAATCGAAATAATTTGGAAAATCACAGACCACTAATGATACTTTTCGGTTTTCAAAAAGTATTCGAATACTCTTTTCTGGGCCGTCTTATAACATTTATTGAAAAATTTGACATTATAACCGAAAAGTAACATGGTTTCCGGCTTTAGTTTCCTTGTATTGCACAGTGGTAGAACATATTGAAGGAGGTGAAAGTCCAGCTACAGTATTTTGTGACTTTGAGCAGGGCGTTCGATTGTGTGAACCACGCTAAGTTACTAGCAAAACTGGAAAGATTTGGTATTAGAGGGGTAGCGAATACTTGGATATCAACATTCATAGAAAATCGTACACAGTATGTTAGTATAGCCCAAAACAATGGCAGCAAGACTCAGAAGGTCAACTAACAACTGAGAACTATTGAGAGAGGTGTTCCTCAGGGGTCAATATTAGGGCCTGTGCTATTTATATTGTATGTAACAGATACAGATTAGAATATCAACTTAGGCAAGTACACTGCATATGCAGATGATTTTCCATTGACAATATCAGCTCCTACAATATCGAAAATAGAAAAGGTGGGCACTGATGTAATGAAAAAAAATTGTGAATATTTCAATGGAAACGACTTGTATTTAAATGTTGATAAGACAACGTTATATAGCTTTCATAACAAACAGAAAGCCTGTAACACAATAGAAATCGAAGTGAATGCAGGCCCTTATCTAGCTCTAATAAAGGGACAATGAAATTTCTAGGGCTTAATATCGATGAGCACCTTGACTGGAAGGCACAATGTGGACATATTATTGTCAAGCTTCACTCAATGAATTACTCAGTCAGGAACATGCGAAATCTTTTAACCAGAAAACAGTTAATAACTCTTTATTCCACTCATATAGACTCCCAACTAAGATATGGCATTTTATTGTGGGGTGTGTCAACTAGGTATGCTGAGGTGTTTATAGCACAAAAAAAGATTGTTCGCTGCATGGCAGGAGTGTCTAGCTCTCATTCATGTAGACGATTGTTTCCAAACTTAGGTATATTGACAACACCATGTGTTTATATATATGAAGCATGTATGTATGTTTTCCGAAACAAAAATGAATTCAAACTTAATGATAATACGATCCGTTCAAAGCTGAGTAATCAATCTCCAAATAGCATGGGCGCTAGATTACTCTATAACCGTCCACCTCAAATAAAAGGAAAGGAAAGTTTACATATTTTAAAAAAAATATTGAAACAGTTTCTGTATGAAAAATGTTACCAATCAGTTGCTGACTATCTCAATGAATGAATGTATGTAATCGTTTTGAATTGTTGAGTTTTTTAAGTAGGCGTATGTATTATGTATTTTTATATACACTGGGTCCGTAAAGTATGGAACAAATTCATTTTCAGTTAAACAGGTCATTTTAAGAAATAATCCTGAAACACGTCGATTTTTGATGTTGTTTTACCGTATTTTAAAATAATAATCTAATATACAGGGTGAATTACGTTCGAGTAATGACGTCACCGTCATTTTTTTTAGTGGAACACCCCCATTTTGTCTCAATTTTCAAATTACTCTAGCTGAGCTGATTCAAAAAATGTATCACATGTTGATTCCAATTGGTACAGGGTGGACAAAAATACAGTAGTTATATGTGTGCTAATAAAGTAACACGTAACATTCCTCATTAGGTAAATTAACAATATTATCAAAAATACTTATTGTCTAGCGGCAATTGGTTTAAATGTAACACCCCGTAGTTTGCTACATGTTTAGAGTAATAAAAATGAGATCACCGAGACCCTCTCTTGATACAAAACATTATTTTTTCTGATGAGTCCACTTTCACGTTAGATGGTGAGGTTAACCGTCAGAATTGTAGATACTGGGCAAAAGAAAACCTCCACTGGATGCGTGAGCATCATACACAATACCCTCAAAAGGTAAAATTATGGGCTGGAATTGTACGAAATCAAATCATTGGACCCTACTTTATCGAGGGTAATTTAAACGGGGCAAAGTACCTTGAGTTTTAAAGGGGGTATCTCGTACCTACTTTACGTAATTTATTTCCCAGCAGACGTAATCCTGGAGGTTTTGATGAAAGTTTATGGTTTCAACAGGATGGTGCACCTCCACATTATGCTGTAGATGTTAGAAGGTACGTAGATGAAATTTTTCCGACCAGGTGGATTGGTAGACGTGGACCCACTGTATGGCCAGCGAGGTCACCAGATTTGAATCCTTTGGAATATTTTCTGTGGGGCATCTGAAGAATGTTATTTATTAAACGAAACCAGCAAATATTGAAGATGTACAAGTGAAAATTCGAACAGAAATAAACAATATTACGCAAGAAACCATACACAAGGTTCAACAAAAATTTATTCACCGTTTGGGTTACTGTCAAATACAGCAAGGGCTGCAGTTCGAACATTTAATATTGAAGTAATGTATTCCAGCATATTCTGTCCGCTAGACAATAAGTATTTCTGATAATATTGTTAATTCACCTAATAAAGAATGTTACGCGTTACTTTATTAGCACACACACAACTACTGTATTTTTGTCGACCCTGTACCAATTGGAATCAACATGTGATACATTTTTGAAATCAGCTCAGCTAGAGTAATCCGAAAATTGAGACAAAATGGGGGTGTTCCATTTAAAATAAAATGACGGTGACGTCATTACTCGAACGTAATTCACCCTATATATTAGATTATTATTTTAAAATACGGTAAATTAACATCAAAAATCGATTATTTCTTAAAATGACCTGTTTAACTAAAAATGAATTTGTTCCATACTTTACGGACACAGTGTATTTTTATTGGTGTAGTGTTATGCCAACTTTCAATACAATTTTTAGAATTGTCAATTAAGAAAGAATATCATTAATAATGCTGAGTATCATAAACAATACTTTCAACTAGTGACCTTGCTAATTTCTATTGAGATGTTGACGATATCTTGTATTAAAATAGTATAGATCAAAATGAATCAGTATAAACTATGTTCAAACGCCATGGAGAAAATCTACAGTTTGAAATCTGGAACTTTAGGTTATCATCCAGTAAATCCTCTCCCACTCTTACTGAATTCTTAACTTGGTCGGAGAAACGCGAATCGAGAAAAGTATTGCATTTCCGGTGATTAGGAAGAATGTTCAGAATTGATTTTACGTCAGAGATCCCAGTTTTACGTTTTATTATTGAGTATCCTCTGAAAAATTGCAGGTGATACTGTAGTTGGAGTATTACTCAAAAGGTTCATACATCATATTCTAGATCGATGCTATCAAATATTTTTCTTGTTTGAATTATCTGCAATGAAAAATAATTCAGTATGAAAAACTTTGTTTTCTAATCTCTTCGTCTATATGAAAAATTAAGGAACTTATTCATCGTGAACATCAACATGGAAATGATTATCATCATTCGCAAGTTTTTCAACTAATTTCATACGATCAAAATGAAAGACTCATTTCAAACTCGTAATATGAGAAATTGTGCTCAATCAGGTAAATCAGGTTTACAAGTGATTGACAACTTGTATACTGATTTTCTTCTGTGACTAAAAAATTTTTTCTTCTCTCATTATTGATACGTTTTGGCTGAACTTTACAACAATTCAGTTCCTTATGATGTACTGTTTTGGAACCTTTGGTGTAGTAATGAATATTACAGGAGTTTTTTCCCAACACCAAATCATTATTTTTACACCTCGACACGTGTTTCGATCACCAAATCGATAAATTCGTTTCTCTTACCAATTTGTGTATGAAACAAAATCGTTTCCAGGTAGAAGGTTGCTTTTATGAACAACAGGAAGGAACGGTCATGGGAAATCCCTTGTCCCCCTACCTGGCAGACCTGTTCATGAGCAGATTCGAAATGGAAACTAAAGAAAAGTCAAAGTACTTTCCTAGGATTTGGCTGAGGTATGTGGATGATATTTTCGCGGTATTCGATACCAAAAAATCGAATATCGAGGAGTTTGTTTCCTTTCTAAATAATAGATGTCCATCAATAAAATTCAGGTATGAATTAGAAAATAAAGGACAACTACCATTTCTTGACGTTTTGGTAATGAGGAGCAAAGATGGAGGGTTAGAATACGATATATTTAGAGAAGAAACAAGCACGTACAGGTATATTCCTGACAGTTCACATCACTGTGGACAGCACAAACGTGCTGGGTTGAATTTTTTGGTACATCGTCTTATGACTTTCCCTTTAACACATGATAGGTTCACAAAAGAAAAACGCACAATACAGGAAATAGCAGCCACTAACGGTTTCCCGAGGAGTATTGTAGATGACATAATTAGGAAAAAGAAGTTTAGGTTAAGAATGAACGAAATCTCGACTTTCAGAAAGGACAAAAACCAAGATAAATACATCTTAGTTTCATACCACTAATATACGAAGAACTTTGGAAAGATTTTCAAGGAACTAGGTATAAACGTGGTTTTTAAAACAAGTCATACACTGCATAGCCTTTTGGGAAGTCCAAAAGACAAAGTCGAGAATTCGGAAAAGTCTGGAATTTACGAAATTGAATGTAAGGACTGCGATGCAAAATATTATGGACAGACAAAAAGATCTATTAAAGTGAGATATAAGGAACACATAGCACACTTAAAATATGGGAGACCTGAAAAATCAGCAGTCGCCCATCATATTCTGCAACAAAACCATTCCATAGACTTCAGTTCAGTTTAAGATTAGTTAGACAAGTTAACAACAACAGGCAACTAGATGCTTATGAGAGTGTAGAAATAAGTAAACATAATAATATTATGAATAACGATAACGGACCAATACCAAATAGCATACTATATAGCTGATTGAAATAATATTGTTGGGTTTACTGATTACTACAAAAAGACACATTGTAAATATATTTAGATAGGCAATATTGTGAAACTAATTTTATATAGCTGAAAATTGTTCTATATATAGCTGTAACATTTAAACATACATAAGGACATATTGTAAAATAATAGGGTGGTACACTTGTATGGGTGGTATTACTGATTACCTACCTGTATGATGTACCTTAATAGCATAATTAGCTTTAGTTTCGAGAAGTTTTTAGTTTTATCTTCCCCTTGAAGATGATCACTTGGTGATCGAAATACGTGTCGAGGTGTAAAAATAACGATTTGGTGTTGGGAAAAAACTCCAGTAACATTCAGTTCCATTTTCATTTAATCACTCCAATAACGAAATATATATTCGGATATTCATCACTGAAGAAATGGATTCAAATCGCTCATTAAAGTATAAGAACTCATCATTTCCCGAATACTCATTGATTTTTTTCACAATTCTATACATCAATGCGAATCATTCGATATACTGGGTAGAGCACACCATTCCATAAAGTCCTTGTAAACACCACATCATTGATTTTTTTGGAAATTTCTCCATTCCGTTATATGAATTTCGAAAAAGGCTGCAGAAAAAAATTGTTTTAAGTAATCAGGGTGGCTCGAAAAAATGTGACATATTAAGGTTGTGTTTTTTAAATTAAACATCCTGCATTTTTTCAGGTATCATTGGAAACTAAATAACTTTAAAATGTATAGAAATCATCCCTTCGGATTCTGGCCAAGCATGAAAGACGTATTGAGCTATTGATTTCGATAAAACTCGTTTTTCAATGTAATACAGAATGTCACTTTTTTATAATTTAGGCCATAGATAACTTTGTTATTTCAAATAGAGCACCCTGTATTATTTTGGTCTTAACAGTACAATCATCTTTTATTTCATTTTGGCGTTCCTAATACCTATTCTGAATGATTTTTTCAGATATGTGTTTTTTCAAATATTAGTTCCTATTTCACTGCTCACTAAACCAATATTATTCCGATTTTCCAAATTGGGAATAAATCAACTATAAGGGAAACATACGTCAATTTTTTACACTTGTTATACTCCTCCGAGCCTGGCATAAGTCGCTGAAAGATTTCTGGGTATTTCGTATGCACTTTGAAATATCCTGCCACTCCTTCTTTTGTCTTTTCTACGCTCATTTTGCATCCTAAAAGTCCATACTTGATTTGATTCAGGCTGATATCTGAAAAGAAGAGTTAACTGAGTCTACAGAACTTTTCACTATTATTATAGGTGTATCAAATAATGGATCAAGTTTCAACATGCTTGTGAATAACATCATGTACTTCATAAATGAACATCATTTATATAATAAACACAGCGGTGTTACAGTAAATAATGTTCATTTGAATATGATTTCATTAAGTCAATTTGCATATTCACTTAATAATTTCATTCATCCAACAAAGTACTGCGAATTTAGACGAACTCATTCATACATAGAAATTGTTCGACTTACGGTTAGTTTACCGCGGGTTGTGATATTACGAATGAAATTATTGATTGTATTATATTACAAAACGGACAATTGTGAAGTTACCTCATCTAATCCTCAAATATTTGAAAAGGCTCAACAACTTGAGCAATCATCAATATGGCGTTCGGAAACAAAGATCAATAGGCGACCTTATATTGTATGGCACCCATATTTGGAATAACGCAGTCGAGAAACATGGAAAGTCGGGAGCTGTTGCGCTTGATATTTCTAAAACCTTTGACCGTGGGTGGCATGAGGGTTTGCTGGCCAAACTTCGATGCTACGGCTTGTCGGATCATTTTTGTGTATGGTTCTTCAGCTTCCTGATAGTACGTTTCCTGCAAGTGGTCGTTGATGGATATCTCTCGAATACTTTTACCATCAACGCTGGTGTTCCCCAAGGATCCATATTGCCTCCAACCTTTTTTTTTATTTTATTTCAACGACTTATTGGAAAAAAAGTAATAATCCAATATTTATATTTCCTTGCTGACGACAGCATACATTCCGTTTGGATTCCAGAACATCGACTGCGGATGTACATCTTCACCGGCAGCAGGAAGTTACATGTCTCAATGGAATTGAATTATTTTAAAATTTGGTCGGTTTTTTGCAATTTTTGTTTTTATTCTTCTCGAAAACGAATGATTTTTTGATGATTATTCAGAGGAAAAAATTGTTCATTCTGACGAGATCCACCACATAATCAGTTATTGTAATGTTCTCAACAACTAGGAGCTAAGTGATATGCATCGATATAAACAATTGTAAATATTTCGAAAACGATCACCTCCAGCGCTAACGGTGTGTCAATTAGGTTTTCAATGAGAACTAAAATTTCACTGTCAAAAAAGTTAGGGCAATTTGAAATAAATAATAACAGCGTACGCAACGCCTTATCGATGTTACATGAAAACTGATACGAAAATATGATGCTTCACGTCAAACAAAATCCAGGTACCAAATTTTGTGCAAATAACTTTTTGTAAATGTTATTTTTGAGAAACGGACAAAAAAATCAAATTTCAACACCCTGTATCTCCGAAACGAAGCGTTTCCGGGCACAAGTTATTGAGGACTTTTCTTTCTGAAATTGTCTCAGGGATACGTCATTTGACTATTTCGACGTACTCATGTTACACCCTGTATAGTACAGTTTGAGTATTATAACTCCACTCTGAATAATACTGAGATTATTCAGTTGGAATGCGATGTTATCGAATCGATAACTAGAACATTCACAACGTTTTACCCATGGCATTGACATGACATTGAACCAAATACGTTGTTGAAAACCCCTCACTTTATTCTAACTGGTCACTATGTCACAGAAGAAATTTTTCAGATCTGTTATTGAATCTATCACATGTTCTTATGTATCCATATATGAAAAAAAGTCTGAAAACCATTGACTCAAGATTGTTATTGTTGTTCCACGATTTGCTCTAAGTGAGTGAAATTTCATTTTTATTCTAGATAACCGAAGATGTATGATCCTGTAATGACCCTGATATATCAAGTTCATCAATATAGGGTTAAGGCACCGATAGTTGACCAGCACTCCGTAATTGACCAATTTCTTATTCATGCACAGAAATAAGAAGACTACAGCGTACCGATGGTTGCCATTTGTATTAATCATTTAATTGGTACTTTTTCTTGTAGATGTCACCACTAAACGTAATTCGCTTATTTAATAAGTAGGCCACTGTCGTGTTATAAATGTTTCCTTTTTGCCCTATAGTGAACACGTGATGTGACAATGAGCACGGTGAGTCGACCACTTTAACACATCTTGATACATCCGTTCACGTTGAACGTTTTATTGGAAACATATTTGATGTACTGGTTGCCAGATGAATTGAGTTGAACATTCTCACTATATTTACTGTCGAAATGAGTATTTTTTATATTCAAATCAATGTAGTTAATCACTGGTATGAAATGTCTTATAAAGTGTCCGTAATTGACCACTTCGGCCAACTACTGGTGTTTCAAAGAAATCAAAGTTTTCCCATCTCTGTCTGTTTCATAGCTTTGGGTATGTGTTAAAGATGAGTTTCTATTCAAATGAATCAGATATTTCGGAGAGGATCCAGTAGTTGACCGCAATACAGTAGTGGTCAACTACTGGTGGTGGTTTTTAGCTTTGGTCAATAACTGGAATTTCATTTTGATTTTATTTCTTTTGGAATATATGAATTTCACTAGTTCGGACTTCCATTGTCTACTGTATAGAATGATTTGAAATCCCTGAAACAACTAAAGAAGAAGAATTGAAAATGAATAGCTAGTATTCCCATGGTTCCATATTATGAAGGTGTCGTCAACATATCTCAACCAGGCTCGAGGTTTCTTGTGGGCTTCTTCAATGGCCAGAATACTGAACTAGACGCCTTCCTGAAACACATCAACAGCGTGAGACCATCCACCAATTTCACAATGGAGAAGGAAATCCACAACGAATTGCCATTCTTAGACGTTTTGGTGAAGAGGACCGACACTAAGTGGGAAACATATGAATACCAAAAACCCACTCATATGGGACAGTATCTGAACCACGAATTCAACCACCATCAATCGACTGAAAGAGGGATCATCAAGACTTTATTAGACCGTGCTTTTGGGCTCTGTAAGTAAATTTTTTTTATGTGATAAATCATTACAAACATTAATTGATGGATTTTCTGATATAGATCAGCTAAATACAAATTATATGATACATAATTTCAATGAAAATGGTTTCATTAAACAAAATAACTTGTTGTCAGATACGTTATTCAAATTCGCTCATAATGAAAATAGCGGATTATTGCGAACAAATTATATGAGAAAGAAATATAAAGATAATTTTAATTTTGTGGAACCTATAAAAGTTGTTCTCTCTTCTGACAATATATCTTCAAATAGCTTTTATTTTTATGTACCTATTCTAGAAACATTGAAAGTTCTTCTGGAAAATGAGAATATTTTCAAACAAGTAATGGAGACTTCTTCTAATCGAAAAAATTTATTTGAAGATATTTCAGATGGAGATATATTCAAACAGAATGACTCAATTGATGGAAATCGATTTTCAATAAAAGTAATACTATATCAAGATGCATTTGAAATATGCAATCCTTTGGGTTCTGCTCGGAAAAAATATAAACTTGTAGGAATTTATATGAAACTTGCTAATCTTTTTCCTTGGCAAGGAACTCAAACGGAGCAAATAAATTTAGTAGCTTTGTGTTTCGACAGAGATTTAAAAAAATTTGGATATTCTAAAATATTGGATAAACTCATCTCTGATTTGAAGTTCTTAGAAGAAGAAGGCATAAATGTGAAGAATGTAAATTTCAGAGGTAGATTAGCAGTAATAATAGGAGACAACCTTGGAAGCCATCAAATAGGTGGATTTGTAGAAAGTTTCAGAACAAATTCTTTTTTTTGTAGATGGTGTTATGTTGATAATTTAAAAAATTGTTCTTATTCACAAGTTTATGAATCAAGAAATAAAAAATCTTATGATGTTGATGTTAATTATGCACTTACCCTCGGTGATGTTTACAGGGGTATAAAATTTAATTCACCCATGAATAGTCTACGATATTTTCATGTTGCAGAAGGGTTACCACCGTGCTTCGCCCATGATATTTTAGAAGGAATATCTGCGTATGACTTGATGTATTCTTTGTCTTATTTTATTTCTAAAAAACTTATTACATTTGATTTTATAAATGAGAAATATACCATGCTCAAATTTGAATATGAACGAGTGTGTTTACCTACAATAAAAAGGGGCGAGAAAATCGTCGGTAGCGCTTCACAAATTCTATTTTTCATTAACACTCTACCTTTCGTGATGTACGAAAAAATACATCTGCTAGAAAATTGTAACATTTGGAGAATGATTTTAACTTTGCGTAGTATAGTAAATATTTTGATGGCTTTGCGAATTTCTAATCAACAAATATGTCTCTTAAATGGTTTGATTGAAGAATATATGGATCTGAGGGTACGTTATTTTCCACATATCCCTCTTAGACCAAAGCATCATTTTTTACTCCACTATCCAAATTTGATAAAAAAATTTGGGCCTTTGAGACATCTTTGGTCATTGAGGTTTGAAGCTAAACATAGATATTTCAAAAACGTCATAAGACATTCTCCTAATTTTAAAAATATTTTGAAATCGTTGGCTATGAAACATCAATTTTTGCATGCCTACAATTCAACTTCCAATAAAAACTTATACTCAAACAAAGTTGATGCCAAAAATATTGAAGTTTTTTTGTTATCAAATTTTCCTAATTACTGGAAAACTTTAATAGGTGTATATATCTCTAAATTAGCATTCATTAGTGGAAATGTTATATTTAGGGGTATATCCTATAAATCGGGAATGTATTTATGTATTCATAAAGATCAATTTGCTTTTTACCATTTGTGTCAAATCAAATATATTTTTATAGAACATGATTTAGAAAACATATATTTCATCGGTAAGGAGTTGAAAGCATTTTATAATTGCGTTTCTGGTCTTCTTTCTGAAATAATAGGAACACAAGAGTTGGAGCAGAATAAAACTTGTGACATATTTGTTCCCTATGAGAGAATACTCTGTGTAGAAAGCTTACTTCATCATGATTTCAATGACGAAAGAGTTTTTTATTTCAAATCAGCACCACTTGAACTTTTTTAAAAATTTTCATTTAATTTCG